TTTCCTGTTAGCGATTCGCAAGTAGCTATTGTCTTTTTGCTGAGACCGTCTGATGGACATGTTGGTGGTCGTTATACAAAGGTTAAAGTGTGAATAGGTCTACAATAGGGTGGTCGCTGGTCGCGTTGGACAGGTGGTCGCTATATCCAGTGTCTTTAACGTGTAAATTGTGAAGGGACTGTACTGAGGTGGTCGCTATGAGCAGGTGGCCGCTCTGCACAGGTGGTCGTTAACACAGGTTTGACTGTACTAGAAAAGAGGTGTGCAATTGTTGAATCCCACACAATTTTGTTATGCCACTATGGTGCTATGACATTGGTTTATCCTGTTTTTGTGTTAGATTTCATGCATAACACAGGATCTTGCAGTAAACGGAAAATAATCTATTACTGTAAAGGGGTTACTTATTCACTGGGTTTTAATGTTGCTTATTTCACTTACTGGAAAATGCGCTAAATTAAAACCCAGTGAATATGTAAAATTTAGCATAGAACATACCATCTAAATGATGAAACCATGAATTTAAAACCTATTGAATATGCCTGAAATGGTAAATCAGCGAAATTTGAACCCAGTGAAAATTAGTCATTTTACAGTACTTTGCTAATGACTGAGTTGGAGGGGCTGCAGTGTGATTTTTTTATGGTAGTTGCAATGTTGAAAATTAATATTTTAATGTTTTCTCACTAATTACAGGATCAGCTTGACATCAGTAATATGCCCCAATGGCGCCCCATGCTCTATGCTGTTGCCTTCTTACACACCACTGTTCAAGAGAGGCGTAAGTTTGGACCGTTAGGATGGAACATCCCTTACGAGTTCAACCAGGCCGATTTCACTGCCACTGTACAATTTGTAAATAACCATCTAGATGATTTAGATCCAAAGAAGGTTGGTTTTATTCATTTATATTTAACTTCTTACACAATCATTAATATATTCACTACACCTGGGTTTTAATTATTGTTTTTTTTTCATCAGAAACAATGTAATTACAAGTTATACAACTATTAAAATCTAATTAATAATAAAACCAGTGAGTTATAGTGATTCTGATAAAGACTGAATATAGTTCGAAAGAACTGATCATTTCTGTGGCCCTCACTTCATTAACAATTATCCATGCATGTAATGCAATTCTATAAATATATGTTGGGATAACATCAGATTACTTAACTGTGATATTTTAAAAGTACATTTCCCACAATTTTATAAATAAATGAAATAACAAATAAATAAATGTGAATAATAATTATGACAATGGCTCATATGACTTCTTTTTGATGATTTTAACTTGACTAGTCGCTATATCTTTGCCAACTTGCAGCTGTTTTACAAATATCAATCTCAGGAACCACGCAACTTAGCACACATGAGTTGCTGTTGGATTATACACAGACCTTCTCAGTTTGGTTGAAATTGTGCATATTAATTACCTAATTTGCATAATATTTCATTTGTACGTTATAGAACAGTATTATTAACATCAACGCTTTTAATTTGTGCATCTGAAAGAGCAGAGCTATAACCCTAAATTTGAATATTTCCTATATTTATTTCCAATACCCTTTATAGACGGGAGTTCTTTTTGAGTTTCTTCGACTAGTTCATAATCTTGGCATCTTTGAAAACAATTTTTTCACTGACTTTTCAAATGAGATTGTAATTATTAGTTTGGTATTTTGTCATTTAGGGAGTATCGTGGAACACTGTACGTTACATGATTGGTGAAGTACAGTATGGTGGTCGTGTGACAGATGATTTAGACAAACGTTTATTGAATACTTACGCCCGTGTGTGGTTTTCTGAAGACATGTTCAGTGATAAGTTCAAGTTCTATACAGGTAAGTTATCTATGTTCAGCTCCTGATCTTATTTATTGAAAAATATAAAATGTTTGAAAACAAAATATGAAATATGCAATTTTTATACTGCTGTGTGACCAGTCTGCTCAGGAATTGAGCGTAGAACCTCCCTGATGCGAGGCAAATGAGATATCCACAGTACTCACTGCTCAGGTAAATGTTACACGAGTTCCTCAATGTTGCTACCTGGGTTCTCAACATGAATTCCCTAGTTTTTAGCTTTAGTTTAGCTTCTCGTTGAAAAAAAAAATACATTAGTGGTTGTCGCATCAGACCTGTGATCGGTAGACGCAAGTTTAAATCTGTTGGGGAACCTTGGTTAAGGTTTGCAGGTGATTGTGGTGGACACCCAGATAGCACATTAAATTGCCATAAAGATAAGATACTCACACAGTTTTTGCAAGTACCGGTAGTCCCAAACATAGAAAATGATTTTTGTGGCAAAATGCAGTCAGTGCTGGCAATTTGCACATAAAAAATTAAGACAGTGACATTCAATATCCAGAACTGTTGAAATTGTCGCTTGAAAAACAAAAAACATTCTGCATTGTGTAATGTAATATCTGTTATTGCAGGTTATGTAATACCTAAGTGTCGGACTGTTGATGAGTATCGTAATTACATCCAAGGTAATCTACCACTAGTTGATTCACCTGAAGCATTTGGGCTTCATTCCAATGCCGATATCACATACCAGACTAATATGGCCACTGAGGTGAGTATTATGCTTCATTACTCTACAAGCTCCCAAATTTAAATAATTAGTTTTAAAAAAACAGTTTTCAGAACACAAAATAAGTGGTTGAATTTGTTGCAGCAATAGTGAAATATTTGTTGTGAATACTGTGTTAAATTATATATTCCATACAATCTTTGTTCAACTTAATAATTACATCAATTATAATTTTTCAATGCATTTTAAACAAGCACTATCATCAAGTTATGATAGAATAAAATAGTGTTGAAACCATTAGAATAATTGTGGCCCTGCAATGTAATGCTCAAATTGTCGGTGCATATTTTAGTGTGAACATTTCATTCTTAATCATTGTATCTTTGACCCATGGTTGTCATATGTGTATTTCAGTGTCTGGATACTATTGTCAGTATCCAACCTAAAGAAAGTGGTGGCGGTGCTGGAGAAACAAGAGAATCAGTTGTATTCAGAATTGCTGATGAAATGTTAGAGAAGCTACCAGAAGACTATATACCTCATGAGGTAAGGCAACAAACTCGATACTAAATCTTAGCATTTGAAAATCCATTCTCATAACTGAGTGTCCTTGCACAGCTTTGTTTTTCCCAAGTAAGTATTGATCCTGCATTCAAGCCCTCATCTGTGTTTTGAAAATCTCAGATTAGATCATACCCAAAACCACACTTGCTCAAGGGATTTTCAAGAGTAAATCTATGGAAATTTCTGTTTTTAAACATAAGTCACATCATTTTTCCATGGAAAATCATTTCCACTTTCTAAAGTTAAGAGTTAAGAAAGTTGAGAGATTGTAGAAAAATAAATAAAATGCCCTATAACTCCGTTGAGAAGAATACATCATTTGTATCATCGTTTCTTCTGGTGACAAAGTGGTCTTGTGACATTAAATAAGTGACATGAAGGCCATTCAAAACATTGATATCATTTTGATCTGTAGTCGTGGTATGTTTTTGAGAGATATTACTGTAATGTAGGTGATGAACACAATTTTTTGTTTGGACGTCATTGCTTTCAACCTGTAAGTCATTTTGATGTCACAAGAGCACTCTGAAAGCACGATTCATAGTACACCATGTACTATGACGCTCAAAGCATTAAAGCTGTTATGTCATGCATTTTGTTTTTGATGACATATCAACGTTGATATAATGACTGAAAACATCATTGTTAAATAACTTTGTTTATTTTTTCCTCACAGGTGAAAGCTCGTCTACAGAAGATCGGTATGCTTAACCCTATGAATATCTTCCTGCGACAGGAAGTAGATCGTATGCAGAGAGTCATACAAACGGTCCGTAGCACGTTGACGGATCTGAAATTAGCGATAGACGGTACTATCATTATGAGTGAGAATTTGAGGGACGCTTTGGATAATATGTTTGATGCCCGAGTACCTGCCATTTGGAAAAAGGTAAGTTACAGCATTTGTGTACCGTAAACACTTTAATTTTAGTATTTAATCATATCTCTTGAGTTTTATTCACATAATTTACAATGAAACAAAGAGTTCTGTTGTAATTTACATGTTCACATGGATTTACTTTGAAAGATTACACTAATCAATGATAATAGTGAAATTAAAACTATATGAATAATTAATGCATTTACAATCATATTTTTTGTGGACAAATTAAACCATAGCAGGTCTTGTACCATCAGAGATAAGCTGTGAATGCTATAAAGTGAACAAAAAAATTGGCTCTTGCAATTCATCTACGACTAGAACTAGCAAAAGTGTATTCTGGAAAAGATTCTGAATAATTGTTTTAACAACTATATGATACATAGCTTGTCCATACCTTGCAATAATAAATAAATAATTTATTTTCCCATTTGCAGATTTCTTGGGAATCTACCACCTTGGGTTTCTGGTTTACAGATCTTATTGAGCGTAATAATCAGTTTGTAACCTGGTTGTTTGATGGACGTCCACATCATTTCTGGATGACCGGATTTTTCAATCCTCAGGTATGTGATATTAATTAATTAATTTGCATACCTAAACATTTGTTATCTTTGGCAGCCATTTTGAATAAATTTGCATATATAATTGAAGATCATAATCACAAAGACCTTAAAATTTGCATGATGTTAATCTTCATTTATTGTTCCTACAGGGTTTCTTGACAGCTATGCGTCAAGAGATTACACGTGCCCATAAAGGCTGGGCATTGGATAGTGTAGTGTTACATAATGATGTTACAAGACACATGAAAGAAGATATTAGTTCACCACCTGCTGAGGGTAAGTACACCCCTAATTTCCAGTCGCATAACAAATCCTTTATAAGGGGTTATAAACAATATTTGTCAAGCACTGTACAATATTTATGCTTTACTGTTGTGAGAAAAAAACATTGTTATATACAATTTCACATTGACATACAATTTAAATGTTATTATGCAGATTCATCCTTTCTTTCTACTATCCAACTATAACTAAAATTTAGGAGGTACCCCCCCCTCTATTAGAGACCTGATAATCTCTCCAACATAAAGTGGTACAATCAATATCAGTAAACTGAATTTACCAAATGTCACATTTCAGTAAGCTGATTGTATTAAAGGAAGGGGTGGTGCTGTTGATTTCCGCTGGGATTCTAATGTTTGTTTTGTGGAGAAGCTTTTTTTTAGTCAGTATCTCAGTGGAGAAATGAAAAACTAAAATCCCAGTTTTCAATAATGAATTCAATTGTGAACTATCAAGTTTATAGTTAAAAGTTCTCACACTAACCATAGTACCATCACATTATTGTGGAGAGAACACATTTTAATACAAACGTAATTAAATGCTAGTAATGCTAGATTTTATGTACTACCGCACTTTAGCGATAACATACTTAAAATTTACAGGAACACAAATACAAATTGTGCGTTGTTGAAATGATGATCACCTTACTTATAATATTATTTTTGACTTTGCCTAGGTGTGTACATCCATGGTCTGTATTTAGATGGTGCAGGATGGGATAGGCGTAACTGTAAGCTAATTGAGCCCTCTCCCAAGGTACTATTCACTCCCCTGCCAGTTGTCCACGTTTATGCAATCAACAATGTCGGACCTAAAGACCCTAAACTCTACGAGTGTCCCGTGTATAAGAAACCTGTGCGTACTGATCTGACGTACATCTTCCCGTTATACCTGCGTACAGTACAACACCCTGACCATTGGGTATTGCGTGGTGTCGCGTTGCTATGCGACACTAAGTAATCAACCAGTACAAGGAAAATAATTTGTATTTTTGTACAATTTCTTTTGCTGCAATTGTTATAACAGCCACACTTATTATGGTACCTCACAAAATCTTTCCTAGTTCATTTTACTATATGCTCAGATCATTATGTTTGTTTTTGCGTATAGTTTACAGTTACGCAGACTTCCTTTTTCTGTATTTCGCGTACAGGATTTCAGTAATTGGTGTGCCTTACCATTAGGTGACAGAGAAAACAAAATGCTGCAATTATGGTAGCAAATTTGTTTTATCGTCTGCTGACAAGCAGATTTGGTTTTTGAATTATATATATTACATTTTTTTTTCCATCAACCGTCCATTTTTAAAGTTGGAGCATCTTGGCTGCCAAGTAAAAAAATTTCCAAAAGCTTATTGCACCATTCCTTCTAGCCATATCTTATATAACTTCTGCCGAAATAAACCATATAATTTTTTTTTCATTTGCGTTACTAGCAATATTAATTTCTTAATGAGAAAATGATTGTAAAGATTTTTTTGTTTTGTTATTATTTATAATGTTTTTTTTTTCAAACTATGTGAACCTGTGTGATAATATTGTGACAATATAGCATCAACTGGTGCTGAATGAAACGTCCAAACATAGCATGACCTTTAATCCTGCCTACTAATCATGTGTGCAATTGTTTAATTATATTTAAAAGTGCATCATTTTCTTGACCTTATCCCTCTATTGACCTCATACCAAGATTTAATACAAAAATGTCTTGTATTCAGTAAAAAATAAACAACTGCTCTGGATTGATTTGATACTAGTTTTATATTTGTTACCTTTCAACTTAGTAATAGCCATTTTGGATTTATGAATTTAACCTTTGAACTTAGACAGCCATTTTGGATTCAATTTTTGGTACCAAGTAACCTTTGACCTTGCATTGCATCATGGGCAAAAACAAAATGGCAGCCGAACAGTGAACTGGCTTAAGATATCCATGTTAAATTTGATAACCTTTTAAGGACAGCCTTTGTGAACCATTTAAAATTGTAAAAAGTGTGTTTTCGTAATAGATTTAAATTGACAGTCTGTCTTACACAGTACCTAATTTGCTAAGGCTGACAAACTTGTTGGTCATTCCACTTTGTGAATAGGGGTGTTAGGGTCAGGAAAATGATGTTATATGGCATTGTAGTAAAAAATGGGATATTTAATCAAAATTGGTTTGTTTGGAGTGAACTTGTATATGTTTATATAATATTAAACAAGATATAAAACTGACTTCCAGTCTAATCCGTCCATGTACTTGCATCATCCTGGTAAAGTGGAAGACTTTTTCATTCTAGCACATCCATGATGATGTCATTTCTTATGGCTGTGGTCATCCTTATATGCATTTACATTTTTTTTTATCAATTACAAATCGAACAAATCTACTTGAACATTCCGTCTTTGATTAGTGCCCTTCCCACCCCTATACTGATGTGAAGTTGGTGAGGGCACATTGTTTTGTTCAGCAGATTTATCCACTTAACCTCAGTGTAGGGGTGGCTGGCCAGTATCTATAAATTGTAAAATAACTGTGTGTGGTGCTTGTCTGTTGTGATATGTACATTGTTTAGTGTAATTATTCTCACACTGTACGCCTTGTTGGATGGACCAATGCTTGTATCTTCTAATAAAGTGTGCATGTTTTCATATTTAAAACTAAATGTGTCATTTATTTTTTCCACAATGAATGGTAAATTACATGTAAACCTAGGTCAGACACATCCGGGCATTTTCTGTGGGTTACCGTATCCAATATCCATACATGCGACAAAATTATAGGGATTATTTAGTTGCTAACTCTTCAGATACAGATTCACCTGTAAGCTAGCTATCCTATTCGTTATGGTTATTTAAAGCAATGAACCTGATTTCTGTAAGTTGCCTTGAAAATGAGTTTAACATAAATTTGTTTAACATAACATAAAATACCAGGGTCTGACACTGCAGTCAATCTTGCCTGGGGCTCCTAGCACCTTCAGTTTTTCAAGCTTGTATGATAGCGAAATCCCTGCTGGAAATCAATTGCCCATACAAAAACCCTAAAAATCTAGTCTGTAAATTAGTGTACACTTTTAGCATTATTTTGTGAACAGGAGTATCCATTTTGAACCCCCGATGTATCAGTATAAATAACAATCGGACCATGCGAAAGGTGACGACAGTGAGAACTGCATCTTGGACATTGGGAACTTAAACTGCTACAGGTGGTTATTGATAAAGGCAGTGAGAACTGCATCTAGTTAATGGTCAGTAGATAAGGTGAGAGTAGGACATTGGAAACTTAACCTACTACAGGTGGTTATAGATAGAGGCAGTGAGAACTGCATCTAGTTAATAGTCGGTAGATGATGTGAGAGTAGGACATTGGAAACTTAACCTACTACAGGTGGTTATGGATAGAGGCAGTGAGAACTGCATCTAGTTAATAGTCGGTAGATGATGTGAGAGTAGGACATTGGAAACTTAACCTACTACAGGTGGTTATGGATAGAGGCAGTGAGAACTGCATCTAGTTAATAGTCGGTAGATGATGTGAGAGTAGGACATTGGAAACTTAACCTACTACAGGTGGTTATGGATAGAGGCAGTGAGAACTGCATCTAGTTTATATAATGGTCAGTAGGTGAGGTGAGAGTAGGACAGTGGGAACTGAACCTACTACAGGTGGTTATGAATAAAGGCAGTGAGAACTACATCTAGTTAATGGTCAGTAGATGATGTGAGAGTAGGACAGTGGAGGACTGAACCTACTACAGGTGGTTATGGATAGAGGCAGTGAGAACTGCAACTACACAAACATGACTTGTCACAAATATTTCCGAAATTGAATAAATGTAATTAAATGCGTGATCGCCAATCCCCGAACTGAGAATCTCAATGCAAAGATGAACAACACTTGCCTTGTCTTGTTGACACAAAATTCCCTGAAACGCAAAAAAAACAAAACAAAGAGTGTCATCGTTGAAAATATTAAAAATAAATCAGAGAAGGGGAATAAAATAATGAACTTTTTCATTGGTTGTGATATAATACATGTTGCCTGAAAGATGTTCATGAAGACAGCCGCAAACATGGAATGTGATTTATTAAGAAATCGTGCAGCGTCGTCCATTGAAGGAATATATTGTATAAGCAATCTGACACACCCGATGAATTATTTATGTCATAAGTTATAGCAACGGATTTCTGAAACCGCAGCGTAATAGGCCGGTGGTCGTCGTGCCATGTCCTGTTCGATATGGGACCCATAGCGACGTACACAATGCCTGTAAAATACATTGTTTGTTTACCTGAAATTCGCACTTTAAAGGGCGGTGGTCGTTGTGTTGCACATGTGCGACATTTCTGTCTGATAAACATTGATTTTACCACAATCCAATGTGCTCTTCTAATGGGAATCACAAGTATGAGGTTTGACCTGTGCGCGACTTGCACTAACTATCACCAGTGACTCCTCCAATACCTTCCAATCACCTAAAAAATACCTAATTACAGTCAAAGTCGCCATCTTTGTTTATAGGAGACCAATATATCTTGAGCATGCGTGGCACGACAACTACCGCCATTTAAGTGCTTATGTATATGTGTATGTATGTCTGTACTGAAAATACGCAATCTAATGCGCGTTAAATTTTACTCTTATAGGAAGTCAGGTGAGGGAATCTCCCGAAATAATTGTATCAATAATAACGAATACAGGATATCTGTTGTAGTACTATTACCTAAACGTGATTTATTATATTCAATATGGTCAATAGAGGGCGTATCAATTGACTGAACTATTAATTTAGAAACATCGACGCCGATGTACCATTACTTCGACTAAAAAAGAAAGCGGGAATGAGAATATGTTAATTAATCAATAGAAACTGTCTTTTTCCACTGTACGCTTCAAAAATATGGCCGTAATACTAAATCGCCATAGTAGCTTCGCGTCACCAATATTCCGAACTTTGGACTTTAACTGAGTAAATACACGAGTATGTGTCGTCCACGGCAGTTTGCATGTGGAAGTTATATGATTAAAATGGCGCTTACAGTCACCCCTGAAAGAAGTAGACGCATCAAGTAATCATATCCATACAGCATGGTAGGATATTGACAAACAGGTAAGTCTGTCGTAATATAATGTGCATTTAGACTATGGCGGAGTGAAAGGTTGAATCATAGGATGATCCCACGCTGTAAAGATCACATCGTGGCGTGGACTGAAAACTTTACACAAATCAAAGAAATGCGCAAACATGCTTGCACTGAAATATCTTCCAGTCTTACACACATTCTATTGCAGTAACGTCACCCCCCCCCTATAAAACACCTGGCGATCTCGACCCTGGTATTAGGATTTGTCGTGTATTACGTCGCCCGCCCATGTAAAGCTATAAAGAAACTGATTTCGAGAGTTCAATGCCAATTAAGTTCAATGAAAATTTGGGTTAATCATTTATGCGGTCATATATATATATATATATATATATATATATATATATGTCAGCCCCTCCTCGCTACACTGATGGTATAGTATATGTTTATATCATGTGATATTAAACGTGTGTAAAATATATTGTTATTTTTACGAATCTGTATGGTTACTACGAACATTTACAATAAAATAAAAATGGTCACGAAAAATTAACAGTGACACTACACGTAATCGGAACTGCTACGTTTTAAAGAAAATTACAATGTTATATTTCGAATAGTATATTGGTTGCCTACTGAAATGAAAATAAGCAATGTAGTACGCGTGCGCAGACGGGCTTGTTATAGGAGAAGCGCCACGATATATCCAATATTCGCAAATTTATCTTACGGGCGTATATCAAATGCTAACCATGGCAACCAACTTTTCTCTTGGGCCACTGCTAACAGGTTGTAGGGGTTCAAGTAATTATAAATTTTGCGAACATTTCTGTTTTAGCTTTTTGAAGTTTTGGTCAGCACCAGTAGTTTTAAAATTTTAAGCAAGTGTCTTGTAGTACTCAGCAACAAATCTTCCAACTCATTTATGTGACGTAATTATGACGTAGATGCACGAGTCATGGCGACTGCTAAACTACGCTTAGTAACGTAGACTATTGTCATTTTACAGTAAACCCCACTCACAGTCCCTCTATCCCCACTCAATAATTGACTCTGCCCCGCCCAATAATAATTTTCATTGTTATGCTAATACAGATCAAAACATCCTCGGAACCCATTCCAATCACCAAAATCACGGTGCTTCGCCGATAGAACCGATAATTTTTTTTGTGTTACGTGTAAAGCTTATTTTTTTATTACATCAGCTTACATCAATTGTATCTAAGATCGAAGATGAGGATACGACGCCTATTCCGAACCCGGTCGCTATGCATCAAGTACATATGTGGATGCCTGCTTCTCTCAAAGGTGTACCATTTCATGATTGGTTTTATTCTGGGGGCTGTGATAACACAGTTGGTGAGTGAATACTAAAGGACGGTGGTCGTCGCGCCACGTATGCGCGAATTATGGATCTCATATAAACAAAGATGGCGACTTTGACTGTTGCGCAGATCAGTACAAACTGAGAAGTTACCAAGCTTTAATTAGGTATTTTTTAGGAAGTTATAAAAGAAGTCGCCGGCGGTAATTAGTGCAAGTCCAGGTCACAACTGTGATTTCCATTAGAAAAGCGCATAGGGTTGTGGGAAAATCAATGTTTATCAACACAAATGTCGCACATGCGCGGTGCGAAGACCACCGCCCTTTAAAAGCAACTTTACCTGTCTCAAGCAAAATATCCACATCGTTTGGACATGTAGTCGGCCATCTATGGAAATTATGTTTTCGAGAGAGATGACTACATTCTAGACAAACAGAAGTTATCGATTTAAATGTCTTCACTCATACACGAGATTTTGACGTCACAAAATCGCTAACTCCACGGGAACAGGAATGATGTTTTGCACTGACACACAGAGAACATTCAGCTAATGATTATAAAATATTTGTAATTGCACGCATCACAAACTTGTTAATTCGACTACTTCTGCCCGCAATAATACAGAACAAGCAAAAAAGCAAATAATCGCTGTGATTTATTTGTCAGACCATTTAATAACCTGACGTCATCGATTGAGTTGCGCCCTCACACATTATTGTAAAGCCATGCCTAAAGCGCAAGAATAATGTCTATCAGAATATATTATTATTAACGATTTTATTGGATAAATCAACAGGAAATAAACAGACAGTCAGCATATTACGCACACCCATTGTTATACTCCCCTCTTCAGTTTGTTGGCAAAGTGAACGACGACTTCAGATGGACGACGGCACGAGAAGTAAATGAAGAGGTGACATGTGATATGCAAATGAACATGTCCGTAAGACTCGACCAGATGGTTACACGTTTGCTACCAAGGTTACTAAATGACGATAACGCTCGTTTTATGGGAGACACAAGTGAAGTAACGTCTCCTTTCACAACCAGGTAATTATGCAGTGGATGTATGGGGTAACTCAAATCAGGGGCAGAACTTTCATTCTGTTCAGGTTTTTTTTAAGACGTTGCACACATAACCAATCTGACTACAATCTGATGAACTGTACGGTGTGTACATTTTAAAATTTAATACATATTATTATTACTAAAATTTGTATTGTTAAGTTTATATTTTACGCGCGTAAGCGTCCTCTAATAATAGAAACAAACATGGCAGCACCAAGAGTTTGACCGGACCCCATACAAAGAAGTTCGCTCAATCTATTCTAAACTTTTTGTATCTCGTTATTCCTATGATGTACTAGCATTCTTGGGATGAAAAGCTGCGCAGCGGTTGATACTCCCGCTGTACTGTCTTCGTGCATACTTTTCGGTATCCTCGTAATAACCTCATGTTATTTCATTTTGCCCCATACCTTATGGGCTTTTGCAATTAGCAACTGAGAAAAGTAAACAAAATAAGATTAATGCCTAAACTAGGATATTATTTAATCAGAATGTGCACATATGTTTCCTGCTAGGCATTTTTTTCTATTCTTTTTCGCGATAGTAGTCGACTCCATTACAGAAATTATTAATCGCTTGTACAAATATGTACGTAGTACACCATTATTTAATTAACTGTCTTATACATCCGTGTTGTTCCATGTAGTGTGACAATTTAACTTTGCACGACACAATACTGAAAACTGCACCTGTAATGTATTTTTTTATGATGTAGATTAACGTTATTTCAAAACGCAGAAAAACAGGCAACTGTCAAACAAGGTGATTTCGTCCACGTTGTCATAGAAACATTTGATTCAAATGGGCGAAGACGACAGTCCGGAGGAGATTTCTTCTTCGCCGTTATGTCAAACAGCCTGATGTGGAAGAGCACCACGGGAAGGGTAGTTGATTACCATAATGGCACATACAGTGTGTATTTCTTTGCTGGTTGGCAGGGAAACGCTTACGTGTACGTCACGCTTGTACATCCCGCGCAAGCCATACGCTGGATTGAACACGTGTACCGACCGCGGGGACACAGCGTCAACTGGGTTGGGATTTTCCATAACCACGTTGGTCGGGAGACGAGCATGTGCTACGTAACCAGGGGTACACAGGACAACATGTGTGAATACCGCAACTTCAACGCTTTAGGAGATACAGGTTTGTCTGCGAGCCTCCATCAAGTTTGCCGTGTGAGGCGCTGTCCATTATCAGCGTTAAGCCGTATAGTCTGGAAAGCCGTGTGGAAGATATTTTGACAGATGGAGTGAGAGAATTGTTTTCAAGGTATGTTCTAACATTCCCTACATTGAGGTCCCGCCCCAGGGAGGGGGGTGTTCGTCTGAAAATGAATGGGCGTGGTCAGTTTGTCACATATGTACACTTACATAACTTACTTATTCTATCTTCCTTCGACAGACCTTATCTGGTGGAAGCACTGACTGAAGGACCACTTAGTATATCAATAAAAAGTAAATAATATATTTATATTCTTACATTAATTGACACTCGCTATACACCAGACAGATTAGTTAGTAACATGCTAACTGTGTCAACATACATGCCACGCAGTGCGAGTTATAATATTATGTGAACAATACATTTTACGTGCGTTCTAGACGTCGCATGGGACCCGTATAAAACACGGTGCGGTTGACAACTATGACTGTTTTATAATATGTATTTTAGGTTATCGTATTGTCTAGAACGATGTACACATATACGTGAATTTGACAACTAACTTGAAAACTTCCAATATACCATGTTGGAAACTTAGATAGTTGACTTTAATTTTGAATGAACTATGTATTGTGTTTAATGCATGCTATATCTTGTACAGTAAATCATCACCCATTTGTATCTGTTCATATTAAGGTCCAAGTAAAGACGCAACAATGACTGATTCCAGGGCTACGTTCATTCTGAACAATCTTCCCACCTGCGGGCCAGATATTCCAATGCAGCTTTCAGACGGGTGGTGGGAAAGCGATTCGACCTGGACGTCCCTCGTCTGTAAAACCAAACGGTGGACCATCGAACAAATGCAGAAGTGCCTCACGGGAAAAACTGTTTACATATTAGGGGATTCAACGGTTCGAATCTGGCACGAGACGCTAACGTGGCTAATTGGACTAAAATCCGCCGGGGATCAGATCCGACGATTTTGGACTAGTACCGAGTACAACATCACGCTGATATTTGAATTCAACGCTGTTATAACTGGAACTATTCCGATTAGCTTCTGGAACCAGAAGTTTGAAGCCGATATGATAGACAAGATTAAACATTGCAACGCCATCGTTGTGCTTAGCCTGACGTATCACTACGCGTCCTGGACGGGACGCTCGTACATTGAACGATTACTCCACGTACGTGATGCTGTTATTCGATTGGTGGAGAGATGCCCTGATTCTATGGTGGTAATAAAAAGTTCGCATCCGAGAGACCACCCCAACAGCCAATCTTACATTCATAGCAGCGATTGGACGTTGTTTGATATGAACAGAATATCCAGGGCAATATTCGCTGGCATTGGTGTTCGATTTGTTGATGTGTGGGACATGTCACTTGCTCATTTTAGTACAAACCATGTTCATCCAACAGATAATGTTGTGCGACAACAACTTGATTTATTCTTTTCATTTTCTTGTCCGACTTACTTCTAATTCTCGCCAAAAAGCGATATATTCTATCTAACTACGCATCACGACGCACATTAAAGCGGGAGGGTCGTCATCTGCGCACGCGCGTAAATTGAGTCCCAGGCGACGATAACAACACACGTTAAAAACGCAAAGGCTCGTGGGTAGACGATTGTTTGTAAACAATGACACGCTATGGCTACCTGACGCATGCGCAGGTGACGACTCCCCGCTTTAATGCAAGAATATGGCTATCAATCTTGACTATTGGTCGTATTTTTTTATTTTCTCACCGCTGACAGTAAAGTTTTAGGCTGAAGGCTACTCGCGAGATTTTTTACACATGCGCAAATTCAAGTTTAGTGCATATATATATATAGCAGTACCAATATTTTGTGTCAAAATCTGTCTACAATTATTTATTTTATTATTAGTCCGCAGCATAATACAAATGAAATGCCATTTTGACTATAACCACAATGAAAACACATTTCATCGTTAAAAAACAACTAAAAATATTGTCAATTTTTAATACTTCTAAACATCAAAACGTTTCTTGTAAGACAATATAAATATATATTTTCCGCGTGAAAAATTGTGCGATATTGAGATATACCCTTGCCATAGAAAACAATGGTAAAATGATACAAAACAGACAAAACATGTTATTTTAACTGTATTTCAATGATCGATTTTCTTTGAGTACGGTTACTTCAAATTTTTATTTTATTCTCTTAATCCTTGTAACAAAAATAAAAAATAAATAAAATGAAAATATTTTGATTTTTGTTTAAATTGAATATCTGTGTGATATGTTTATTGTTTATCTGCTTGTTTTCCAAACTGTTTTTTTTAATAAATGTCATACCATAATATGTAGTATAACATTTATGTGTGGAATTTAAGGAAAATACGGCGACGATCTGATTAAAGTATGTTGTATTTTATGGCGCGTATGTTTTTTTTAATTTAATTTTTACTATATTTGTTATCAATTTTGATTTTTTTTATGTGTTTCATGGCGTATTGTATATTTAATACGCAATGACCAAAACTACTAGCAAATAAATATAGATATGAGATGAATAAATGGGAATATACATATATAATTAATACCTATTTGAAGAAAATTTTCTTATAATTAGATTTTTGGAATTCAAGTGAAATAGGACGATTTTCGCACGTTACTGTCATTAGAGTGTCATTAGTATAGTACAGACGGCGCTGTTTTCGATGTGAGATCGGAGAGCGCCGACATGCGGCAGACTTGAAAGAATTACCCTGTTTGAGATATTGTTGTTTCAATTTCAGCCCCAAATAAGGTATCGAATATTTCGCCACTGGTTAGTGTTCCCATGGAGCTAAGAAATATAATAACATATTTAAGGTGAACGTTTGACGCTCAATCGCCACTTTCATAACTGAAATGAATTTACGAATATAAATTAATAAATAACAACTAAATCGGTGCATGAAAAAATAACTTACCCACTTTTAAATACATTTGGTGGAAAAATCAAGTTTAGACAAAAATGTTGAATAAAATCAGTGTAAAACTTGTTCTGTAGTCAGTTGCGTGGTTTGTACGGGTTACACTGGAGCGCAAACACGACGACAGGAACATACTCCATCATTGATTGGTCGTAGATTTTCAAGTATTTCATCGGACATAGAAATGGAAAAAGAAATGTCCACATTTTGGCAAAAAGTAGCGTTTTAATAACCCAGGCGAAACAAACTCTAACAACTAATAATCAGTTAACTAACCAAATACTAAATATTGTCAATAAACGGCAGACGTTGTCAACACTCCGGGTACGTTTACACATACAAATAATGTAAATACGTTTAGATTGTAGATAGGAGTCTGCAAGTACTTTTTTACCAGTTCATTCATATAATCATTACTAGATTGACACACCTACTGTGGCCCAGCCAAGTCAGTTCTATTTGTTTAGACGGTAGAGTTGTCATGAATTTGTTTTTGCGTATCTGTTAACCGACTTAATTAACTGATTATTAGCGAATTGCTGTGTTATGTCTGTCATTGTGTAGGCCTATTTGAAGTTTTGGACGGAACTTGGCTCAGTGATTTGGAACTAATTACAAGATACCGTCGCTATTCTGACATCCGTAGTTATTAATGTAGTGAACGATTAATCAAAAGATATGACGTATTCAGTACTTAGTGTGATTGGCTTTATGATTGAAGGTTACGCCCTAGAGTCTTTTACTGTTTTGTAATTGGTTAGAGTTTTGAAAATGAATAAAGAGAGTTTGAGTTGGTCTTGACGAGCACAGCACGATAGACGCAGTAGAGAGAGAGTGCAGTCGAGAGTCCGAGAGAGACTTGGGGCGAGCCTTGACGCAGTCTAAGAGAGTCTTGGGTCAGCCTTGTGATTAGTCTTGGGGACTTTTCCCCAGGGCGCTGTGTCTTACAGAGTGCTCCAAAAGATCGACTAAGACGAGAGCTGAAACGTATTTCGTTGTGTGTGCCTTATTTGACAGTAAAGTTAAAGTGACTTTCCCGATCCCGTACCTCAAGGGGACGAGATAGAGAGACGAGACGAGATTCCCCCCTGACAAGTGTGGAGACCCCCGAGAGAGAGAAGATTTTACCCCTGATAGAGTCACCATGACATCGACTCTTCTAAAGAGGCCGCAATAGATATGTACATGTACGTGGAAGAATGCTGTCTGTCTGACTTCGGTGACGTCTCAGACAATAATGTGAACAATTTTTGCGTAACACGTCATGGTACGGAAATGTGTGAGAGTGCATATTCCAGAAATGAAGACCGAGACCGACGTTGGTTATGGTGTCATGGTGAGAGCATGCGGAAAGAAACGCCCCCTATCGGTCAAAAATGTAAAAAAAAACTGCTATGGTTTATTTACAAAAAAAAAATATCGCCTTGTTGTCTAGTTTACACAATTTATTTATTACATTTCTATGCCAGGTGGGAAACAACACAAAATGCCGCGTTCAAGTTAAACACACACGTTTCGCAAAGTAGTATTACAATAGTTGCGCCGTGGAGGTAGCTCCATGGTTGCGCTGAGACAAATAATATTACAAATGCTGTCTCAAAGAACGCTGACTTGTATTTTCCACCATCATGATTTAGTGAATTAAATCGCAATTCGTGAAATAACGGTTGCTCCCACGTTCCATGTATTTTATTCATCCACATGGCACTTCCTCCCCGACTTCCTCATGATCTCAACCATCGACACCCACTGAAATCACTGTTTTTTGGCAAGTTAGGCGGTCCAAAGTCACATGACACAACGCCATGTTTGGTATTTGCTCACCTGTTGAGGGGGAATTAGTGATATTGCTTTAAGGTTTATTATTCGTCTGATTCGACTTTCCTGCGCAAACTGCCACCATGGGTAAGTACTTCTTATTCAAGTTAACACGTCGATGAGCTGAACAGTTGACGTCAGTCGAGAAATCATCATGTAAACATCCGGTAAAATTTGCCATTTTCAACAACACGTCCACTCGACTTTGGCTTGATCCCTCACTGGGAGATGACCTTAGGGCAGGCCCATCCCAGTTGATCGGTGTTTTTTTGCCAAATTATGTTAGAACGTGCACGTAATTCTCAATTTAACTAATATCAAATAAATTCTTCACTTTACACATTATTCTGATGGGTTTCGCACACACAAAACTAACATGAACACATATTGGACCGGGCTCAGATTGTTGATTATTTTTACGTTGTTCACGCGCGTAGCCCGTCAACCAAAACATTTTCTGGGTAAACCATTGTTTACCTGTGAGTATAAATAATGTCTATTGATCGATGAACTAAAAATGGTAACATGTCAAGCGTTCGTGTTGTCACCAACTCCTATTCAAGTTGAATCCCACAACTCACTCTGCGATGACGTCGTCGTGGTGGGCGGCTTCCCACTGATCCGTACCCCGTTAAAAAAATCCCAGCATATTTCAATATTTCAGCATTTTCAGTGTCAGTTGAAAGTACTAGTAACTAGTTTGACTTGCTACTGATTAAAATTCCTACATAATTAAATGCGTATATTATACAAGTAACATGATTATTGGTAGGGTCGCTTTGCTTCCGTGTATTGTTTCCAGGGTAAACATACATTACCTATAGAATGCTTGACATTGTCAAGAACTATGCCAATTTTTGCAATGTGGGTCAAGGTTAAACCTTTTAGTTGACAACTAGTTGCTGTTGTTATTAGTATAAATTTTCCCCATGGATGTAGGTAATAAACTGTGTCAATTGGAAATTGCATTGAATATACTGTAAACGTTTATATTTTTATTTCTATAAATGTTAGCGGTTTGATGATATATAAATATTCACACGAACAAATTTGTGCGAAATACACTGACTTCATGAATTATTCACAGATACCAAATTTTTGGGTTTTTCCTGGCCCACAAAATTTGCATAAATTTGTTTGAATGTTGCATAAATAACAACGTAGGTTGGATACGTTGTATGCGACCCACTTCATTGTAATGCATTTTTGTTAGTAAGAGGAATAAATTGAAATCAAAATAGTTGGTTGTTTTGAACAACTACTGGCTGGTTTCTACACCACTGTATCAAACTGAACATGGTGCTATGTTATAAAAAAAGGGAAGTGATTCAGATACTTGCTGGGTATCTGCAGTATGCCAATATCTTTTCAAAATGTCCTAAATTTTTTCAGTCATTCTAGTATAGTGTTTTCTGTTAAATTTACTGTTTTATAGCAAATAATAAAAATTCCCCATAATACTAGTTGTCATTTTAAACTAAATGTCCTAACCTAATTTAGAGACAACTGATTCCATGCAGGGATTATAATAAGATGTAAAACTTATGAGGAGCCAGGGGGCTTCTAGTTCTAGTTATAAAATTATAGGTGCTTGTAAAGAAACAAAGATTTGACGGAACGCCAAGACTCTTAAAGTCCTTGAATTATAAATGAGGCGAGGATGGTGGAATGATTCAGAAAGGAGTGAGAATAGATTAAAAAGATATCATAGTAATAAGATGAGAATCCAGAAATTAATCACTGTGATTGTAATGAAATATGAATGGAGCGAGGTAAATTAAGAAGCCTGTGAACATTTGTAGGTGAATCAAGCTCCTCAACTCCCTGTATTTCAACCTTGTCTGCTGCGTCCAGCTGCGTCTAGTACATCTGTCTTCTGATATTACTAACATAAATGTATTACTGAAAATGCTTTCCTGTATGACGTTTTATTAACTGTCACACAAACGTGTATATTTAATAACATCAGCAGCTAACAATGCAATTACCTGTACCGACATGGAAGACTGGTTATTGCCAGCTAAATGTAAAATTTTGTGGGATAAGGGTTACCCCGTAAAATCTGTATTAGAAGCCGCATCCCTAATAGAAGCCGCACATATTCTTTTTGAACAATTTAGACCCAAAAATTCACCATTTCTCATATGTGTAGATGCTCTAATAGAAGCCGCATCCCCTGTGTTGTATTGTACCATTTTAATAGAAGCCGCAGCTTTTAATACAGAGTTTACAGTACATAGTTTTCTGGCATTCATATTCATTTACACCACTATTTGTAATTGTTTCAAACCCAAAACTATGCTGAAACTTGGCCAGTATTGTATAAACCCTAATCTTGTGCAATAAAAGTATCGTTTCTATTGTGAGATAAAACACATTGCTGATTTTTTCCTGGCAATGGTGATGGAGATAATCTTAAAATTAAGGTTTATCATACACAAAAAAAAAAAACGCTCAAATCGTGTACTTTCTACCAGTCTCTGAATCTCTCAACAGAATATGTTAATTAGTTATATGCAGTTAAATGGCTTTGATCTCTGTGAACGTAAGAATAGCTTGTCGTACCCATGAGTGAGTTTTTGTTCGGGCTATATTGATGGATGGATGAGGATTGATTACATTGACATGCTTTGTGAACATGTCTATACATACATCTACCGTTATGGTTACGTGAGTTCATTTATTAATAACAGGAAGATGTGACTAGTCATGTAGATAAGGAAGAGATTTAATTTATTTAACACATGTCAAGTATTGAAAGGCGTGTCATTTCTAATATTCCATGATTGCTGATATTAAAATTAAATTCAGTGATCTTGAACTTCAATATGATTGTTGGAATAAAGCATTTAATATCTGGGCGAGTACCAAAATCAAGTTCTCAATAATTCTTTCTCTTAAACGGGAAGCTGTCATTCCCTGGGAATGCATGAACTATGGAATCATGGGACACTTGACTGCTTAGCTTACTCTTAATAAATCTGGTGAGGGTTTCCCATCATGATAAATTTCAATCTGTTGAGTGAATTAGTCATATAAGCTAGCAGGGCTTGAACTTTTTATTGGCACCTAATTTCAAAACCGCTTGAAACTGTGTAGAAAATATTTGACTACAAATGTATTCTGAAAAGCATTCATGTGAGGTGTCTCGGTAATTGCCTCTATGGCCTCTGTGAAATTTGAGCACTGAGTGAGGTAGAATTTTTATAGTAATGAGTCCATTATATTATCATTGAATTATTAATGACCTTCATGGTCTTTTCATTTCCTGGCACGTTATCACCAGTATGCCTCCGGTATACATGTACCGTACTCGACCATGTTAGCGCCCAGGGTCCTCAACTCATAAAATCATGATTTTTTAGGGGTGGGCGCTTACCTGAGCACCCCATCGGAAAGGGCGCGAATGACAATTTTAATTCACCATGTGACAGATTGAGGGGGGTATAGTTGGTGTGTATCATTCTGTTTACTTCAGTACCATATTTACTCTAATAAAAGTGCACACACTTCTGTAAATAACATATGTATGGTCAAAGTAAGAAATATACAATAATCCAGGATACAATAATTTTAATTTTTGATTTCCATGCACTTCTATTGAAGATGCGCTTCTAATTGAGCAAATATGGTACATGATGTTCTATTGGAGATGCACTTCTAATTGAGCAAATATGGTACATGATGTTCTATTGGAGATGCGCTTCTAATTGAGCAAATATGGGATATGATGTTCTATTCGAGATGCGCTTCTAATTGAGCAAATATGGTACATGATGTTCTATTGGAGATGCGCTTCTAATTAAGCAAATATGGCACATGATGTTCTATTGGAGATGCGCTTCTAATTGAGCAAATATGGTACATGATGTTCTATTGGAGATGCGCTTCTAATTGAGCAAATATGGTACATGATGTTCTATTGGAGATGCGCTTCTAATTGAGCAAATATGGGACATGATGTTCTATTCGAGATGCGCTTCTAATTGAGCAAATATGGTACATGATGTTCTATTGGAGATGTGCTTCTAATACGGTGTAGCATTTCTTATTTGACATAAAATATAGAAGCATACATGCAACCACAAATATTAGTAATTGTATGCTGGATCATTTAAATACAACTTGTTTTTACCATATTATGCAAGTGCATGTACTACATTGCTGTATGTTCTTCATGAAATATGTTTATTGACATAAAAACAAATCACAATATCTATAAGATATCTTGATACATTTCAAATGCATACATGAATGATAGAGATGAGTTTATGGTCTAAATAAGTCATATTTTAATAATCCAGTATACCATACTTGCTCTATTAAAGGCGCATCTCTAATAGAAGCATGAATAATGAATCATTCAAACATTGCTTATTTTGACCATAGAAAAATTCTTGTAATTTACATGTGTGATATTAATAATAGTAAATACTGTACATAAAATGGAACTGTTGATTTATATATGTAATTGTAATTGGTGAAATGCATAATATGTAATAAAAATGTTGGGAAAACTACAAACTTTAGGTATGTACATGTATCAGTAATGCATTCTATGAGGCAAAAGGAGAAAGTGATGTTTTGTCCGCTTATTCTTAAAACCATATTAGGAAACAGATAGGCAATTATTAGTCATCTCTCAGATCACGCAATCCTAAGCGATGACAAATACCACTAAAATCATTTCTTATTATCCTTTGATTTTGATTGCTAGATATTTTTCCTGCCAAAAATTCTGTGTAAATTTTTACACATTTTAATTACAATTTTTTTTTTAATTTCAACATAATTTTGAATTATTGAGACAGTATTTGACATTTACTTTTAGGTTTCAATAAAAAGGTTTGTCAATTTTTAATTAAGATTTCATGTCAGAAACAGATTATAAAGAAAATATTTTGTGGATGATGCCAAAAGTGAACAATGGCACTCAAATGGTTGCTTTTACCGTAATTGCTCACTGTATGATCATGTAATCATCAATTAATTTAATATATCATGGTAACTTGGGATTAACTTGTAAATAAGTAATTGACCTCTAAAAATCAACATTGCATCAGCGGAAACAGACTACCACATTCTCT